TTAATCTGACTAAAGAAGAAACCTGGAAAATCTTTTATTCCTTTGTATGAACAAATTATTTGATGTCATGCAGTTATTTTAACCAAAATATCAGAACAATCTGATGACTCTTAAATAAAAAGTTCTCACTATAATAGTTAGAAACCATTGCTCTACCTGTCAAACACAAAAAATATGAATGTCAACTCAACAAAGTAAGTAAGGTTCCTTTTCTTCAAAAAAGTAAAATTCTGATGCATTGGGTGAGTGTTTGTTACTTTATGCCTAATAAAGAAAATTTTTTCCTCCATTTTGACTGTATGGATTAAGAGCTGTTCATATAATTGAATCAAACTTATTTCTTTCATGTCATTCTTAATGTCATAGTGTCCATCATTCATATTATGTACAAGTTTCAATCCTAATAGATGAATCCACATTTTGTTTTTATTTCACATCACTTGGCAGCCATATTTGAGGGAAACTCAAAATTCTCTGTCCATGTTAATTTCTTGTGTATACCTTCATCATTTGACATAACTCATTTGCTTTGATTGCCTAAATCAGAGCTATTCATACATAGAAAGAGAACAAAAAATGAATACAGTGAATTTATTGCAATAATACCTGCATGTTTGATACATAAAGAGAAATATTTTTTTCATTCCTTTTTGACCTTTGGATTGACCCTGAATAGAGATAAGGTTTACATTTTGTCAAGTGTAAACTATATACTGCATGACTAAACATGGTTTGTATATTTCAATATGAAATAGTTTCTTTAATGCTTAAATCAAAATATTCCAACTATCCTAGTGAGAATTATGCTCAATTACCCTCTTTAGGAAGAGGGCTCAAATAGGCTTTGCCTGCTGCCCAATTCTATTCACTTATGTATAAAAAATTTTGTATAAATTAATTAACTTTGTGAAATATTCCCAACTTCCAATGCTTTTTTATTTACATTAAAAAAAACTGACTCAAATAAAATTGTTTTCTCATTTATTTTACAAGAAATAACATGCTGACAGTGAATCTATTTATTTTTAAAAAAAAAAAAACTGGTTAAACTAATGATTACAATTGTCTTACAATGTTCATATGTAAGTTTATTTCATAAACCAATACCTTAAATGTATAGACTGAATTTACTTATGGATTAACCCCTTTGTAGTAAAAACATTTTTTAAACCTGATTTTCTTGTTTATTCTCTCATATATTTCCTAATTTGAGTATTAGCAAATTATTGATTACATAAGCAAACAAATTTAAGACAAAACTACAATATATGCTGAAAACCCTGAAATGAAATGGTTACATATGTAAGATGTGTAACACATCATGTACAACTTTTAAGTTTACAAGATTTTAAGCTACCCATATTATACAATAAGACTACTTTTTCAAAGTTATGAGAAATTCTTTACAAAAATATAAATGCAAAAGATAAATGTTAGGGTACACTTTTAAAATACATTTTACATGAATCACATAAAGAACATTACAAATCATTTCTTTGTGTTTGTTTTCCTTTGGAACATCTGTGAACAAACATTCTGTTTTGTCTTTCTGATACATGAAAAGCGTCCAAAAATCATTTGGAATTGTTGTGTTAAACCCTGATATAATAATTTTAAGAGTTTCTGGTGTGTGCCCTACTTAGAAATGTTTACAATGTAACAAAGATGAAACTCATAATTTGATTTAATCAGCAATGATAAAGTCATCAGGTTTACACATGCTTTTCTGACACATCATGTACATTTTTTCTACTAGTATGTCTTTGTTCACAAAAAAATTGAAATCAACAGTACTTAGCATTCCATATAAAGAAATATGAACCCTAGCTATTAAAAAATTTTAAAATATATTTGTGCATCAATGCATTATCTTTAACAAATCAATCTCTTTCACTGTGATGAAAATTGTCTTCTTCATATAACATGCAGACAAAGAACTTCTTTGGATGATGTCATTTTCACATGTAGAAAAGAAACCGAATTCAACTAAAACTAAAAGACAGTCATTAAAATTTTAAGGACATTAAAGGATGATATCAAGACCGAAGTCCAGGAATTGATAAAATTATATAATTATCATCCAAAGATGTATGTGTTTGGATTTATTTTTTAAATTCACAAGCAAATGAAATGCTGCCATTTAATCTTTCAAACTTAAAAAAAAAAAAAAGTTCTATTCTTTTGAATTAAAAATTTCAAAATCTAGAGGAGTCTTCCCAATACCTATCTATTTATGACTGAAGGTATGTAAATCACCAGAGTTGCTGTACTGCACCATTTGAATAAAAGTCATATCCACAGTCTTGACTTTTTTCCCTAAACCTTATTTCAAAACATAAATTATTCCAACCAGTCTTTATCTATGCAGTGAAAAGATTTTTACAGACTTCTAAGGTATTACATAGTAATAGTCTTTAAACATCTTTGAACATAGTGCATATGATCTACATTTCAATTCTTTCCAAAGAATATGCCACCCAATAAAGCTGATATAAAGTCTATTAGGTTATCACAAAATGTTAAAGTTACAACAACTACATTTTACCCAGGAGAAAAATGATCCAAAAATCTATAGAAAATCTCCGAATCTTTCTTTACTTATGATGTGAATTTTGCAGGTTACAAATTATTGTCAAAGGTAGTTATCTCAATAATCTCATGCTTTGACCCTGACAAAGTGTCCTATAAAACTAAGTGTATTACTCTAACCTGTTCTGTGTAGTAAGCATGAAGTCTAATGGTTGATAGAAATATTCAATGTATTATTGCATCACAGATCAGGGGACACATACATCTTTATGGGGGTCCTATTGAGTCCTATTAAATTCAAAATAGGACACACACACACATACACAAACAAAATGTATTTACAGTTCCAGGAAAGTAATAATTACACCAAAGCTAGCTTTTAAACATCTGTGTAATTTGTTAGGGGTTGTAGAAATAAGATGAAAAATAAAAGGTTTAAATGTATAAAAGTCATACATAACATCTGTCTTCAACATAAATTGGTAAAAATAAAAGTTACATTTAGATATTTTGAAGTCTGGGAATTAGTTTTTTTTTGAAGATCTCATACTATCAGAAAATCACAATATCAATTCTAGGATTTGATTAGACCTCATTTTGTTAAATGACTGCAATTTATCTATTGTTGTGTATGACAGAATATGAAAGATATGAAGGGGAGAGTTTTTGACCCTTTTTTTTCCCCTTCATCATATACTAATCAAAATTTCTAAGTCCCCACGTAAGTTTTTGTTTTACACTGCTTTTATATTAAATAATTTAGACAATATAAATCGATAACTATACAGGGTAAAAAGAAGCAAAACATTTTTTTTTTCAATAATCTAATATGAAGGACTTTAACACAAAATGCAAAAAAGTGAATACCCTAGAATTAAAAAGTCGCACCGTTCAATACTGTTATTATCCTAGAATTAAGGTCAAGACAATTTTTCAAAAGTTCACAAATTAAAGAAAAATATTGAAGGTTATTCCATTAACATGACGTCCATATAAATTCTGCTGCTGGAAAAGCGCTAATCTCTGGCCCATCTTGTCCCATTCATTTACCATAGGGTTGAGATGTGGATGAAAATCTTACCGAAATTGTTTGTCACAATATTTATCCTGAGTACATGATGTGCAAGTTTCCAGTTTGTTTCTAATAATTTGGATAATTAAAGGCACTTCAATTAATTTTTAATGAGTGCAGAGCAATTGCACAAAGATAGGTTCCTTACAATAATTAGTATATTTAATGTACTAGCCCTATTGATATGTCGTTGCAGTGCGTGTATAAGCCTTGACCAGATTTCCCGGTTTCAATGAATTTCCGGTTAACTTAGGATGGTTTAGTGGCATTTGTTGAAAATCTAGCAATTTTTAATGATTAAAATAACAAGATATTGATGGTATTTTTAACGGTTTTAAATAAAATAAATATATACAAAGGAAGGAAATACAAATCTAATTTCACTAACCAGCTTCATATCAACTTCACTGCACATGTATTTACATACACGGCATTTCAAACAAGCTTTTTTCTGTTTTTCCTAAACAACTAAAGATGGCGAACACATGGAAATTTAAATGAATGAAATTCCCGAAAATATATGAAACTCGCACTTATGCTTTTTAACAAAAGCGGTCATGGTAAAAATAATTACACATTCGATTCCATTTTTTTTGGCCGTAAAAGGCAATCATTAAAAAATGAAGTCAAAATTATGAAAACATAGTTAATTAATGTTAAGGTTTTCAAATACTTAAAATAATAAAAGTGGGGACTTAGAAATTTTCTATAGTTTAAAATATATATTATACCGGTCTTTATCTATGTTGTGAATATACATTTTTGCACCCTAGGTATTACATAGTAATAGTCATATAAACACCCTTGAACACTGTACATTTGATTAACATTGCAATCCTTTCCTATGAATTTGCACCTAATTTTTATAAAGTCTATAAGTTATCACACAATGTTGAAGTTATTGCATTACAAGACTCATATAAGTAATCTCAGGAACTAACTTTTACCCAGGAGTAAATGATCCCAAGAAAATCTATAGAAAATCTCCTATTCATTCTTTACTTATGATGTGAAGTTTGTAAGTTACAAATTATTGTCAAAGAAGTCATCTCAATCTTATGCTTTGACATTGAAAAAGTGTCCAAAACAACAAAGTGTATTCATACAACCATTCTATATGTAATAAGTATGTACAATATGGTATGATAAAGATATTCAAGATATTCAAGATATTATTAAACCAAATTATAACTTGCATCTTTATTGGGGGTCTTATGAGATATAAATCAAAATAAACATGATATATATAAGTTAATAATATATAGCTTTTAAACATCTGTGTATATATATGAAAAAAAAAATCCAATGTATAAAAATCATACATAACAACAGTCTTCAACATGAAGTTAAAAGTTACATTTAGATGACTTTGAGGTCATGAAATTATAAAGAGTGCTATCAGAAAATCATATTTTCAATACTTGATTTGACTAGATCTCAGTCTGATAAATAATTACACATTATCCATAGTCAGTGTCTGACAGTAAAAGATACAATCCTGGGTCCTTTCTTTGTCATCCTGTAAACCACAGTCTATGACCGTACTTAAATTGGTTGGAAATCATATTTATCTATGTGCTTCTTAAATCCTCCATCCTGTTTGATTTTCTTGTTTCAGTGTTTTAAGAGAGGATATTCTGTTAGTCTTTGCATAATCTGATAGTCTTTCACCATGCTTCTTAAATCCTCCATCCACCTCCTGTTTGATTTTCTTGTTTCAGTGTTCCAAGAGAGGATATCCTGTTAGTCTTTGCATAATCTGATAGTCTTTCACCATTCTGAGAGTAGACATAGATCATTTCCATAAGCCCTCACTAGAATATCCTGGAAAATAAAAATAATGTCTTAGTTGAAAAAAAAAAATTGTTATGTAATATAAGCTTGATGGAATTCTAAATATAGACAAAAAAGGGTTATAAATACAAGATGTAATATCACATTTTGACTTTTCATATTAACCATGGGTAACACATCCAGTAAAGAAAAGAGTAAAGGAATGAGTAAAATTCAGTTTGAAAAGAGAGTTCTTTCAGAGAAAGATGTAGACAGAGGTATACCAGTTAAAATAAAAAGAGATAGCATTATTGAGATCATTTCTCAAGAAGAATATAACCAATTATGTCCAGAAAAGGGTGATCCTAATGTTGTCAGAGATTACATAGAAAGATCCTTGATTGCAGAAGAAGCTAATGAAGAATATAACCATTTATTACCAAAAGAAGGTAAGAATTACTATTACAAAATTATGTATTCTGATAAGAAAGTTTTCACTTTCATTTGTTGTGCTTTTGACCATTTTAATTGACCTTATGGTCAAGATTGTGATATATACACTCTGATAATCATTTATGATGTCTCCATGATGTTTACCTCAAAAGTTTGAATCAGGGTATTTGTGTTCAAAGAGCTGAAGAAACTATACAGACAGATCTATAATGATTTTGGAAGCATGCATATTAATGAGGGTAAAGGAGATATAACACTAGATTATTAAAAAGAAAAAGAACACAAACTCATAGAAATGATATTGAAAGTACCTTAAATGAATAAAGTGTCATGCTCCAAGGTATTATTTTTATAAACAGGAGAAGGGTTACAACAGTCCCATGCACTCATAAGAAGATCTTGGGTAATAGAAACACCAGGAAATTTTAATTCCAAACAATCAGATCATCTTACATCAGTTATAAGGTTACAGACTTTATACATAGTCATAAGGGTCATTAAGATTTCTTTTCTGGTCATCCTAATGAACCACATTATAGTATTCTTTCCCTGTGATATAATGTTAATATTAAATGGAAAATTCAGAATTCACCAGCAATTGAAGTGAAAACTTGCTATCTTTACCAACTATGCTATTAAGGAAACTGGGGGTTAACAAATTAGCCATATTTAACTTATTCTATAGATATGCTATCTTTAGCTGTTAACTATCATTTGGCAAAGAAAAACTTCATACATTTTAGTTTTAAAATTTGATCATGTATATTTTTATGCCTTTTCTTGTGAAGGATATCAATATGGTTTAAACATGACCATGACCACCAAGCCCTCTTTATTTAAAAAATCAAATATCATTTACTTATCAATTCCAAAATATAAACATGCATATGTAACAAAAAAATAAATAAATAAAAGTTACAATTGTATCTCATTGAAACTTTACCTTCAAGTTTGTGTGTTTCTATATTGATTGACAAACTGTGTATTTCCAAAGGAAGACCAGCAGCCAGGCTTCACTTCATAGAGAATGGATTATAGATGGTTAGGAACAAAACATATCTTCCAGGTTGAGGACTGCAGAAAATAAAACCCATTTTTGTTATTATGATTTAAATTACATGAGACAATGCCTCTTATAAATGTAATGCAAAATAATATCTCTTATATATATATATGGATTCCTATACTCTAATCATATTAAATGTCATTTGTAAAATGTATTTTTTAAGACAGATTTATTTAGGATAGACTTTAAATGATGACATGAATAGCAGGCCATACTTTAAGCACATGACAAAAACATTCTCTCAAATTACACAGAAATGGGTTATTTAGCATAGCTGACATTAAACATATAGGTGAGTGATAACATAATCACAATCATAAACAATGTGAAACAACTTTAAAAGACCTACACTGTGGATTACAAGCCTTTTTCACTGGGGTAAAATCTTGCCGAGATTCGCCATGGCCGCCGAACCCGAACCCGACTGTATAAAGATGAAGTCATACATTCCATGTTGATGACTGTAGAAATAAAAGCATTTTGTTAATATGACAGAGTACTGCATGAAACAATGCATGTTTAAATACAACATGTACAATACCAAAAAAGATCATGAAAATATTTGTTTTTAGACTCAAAACAAATTGTTTTTAACATTAACTCGAGATGAGAAAAGTTCATCATGTTATTTATAGATAATAAACAAGCACAATTACTGTATTGATATCACAAATAAAATGATTATCAAATTAATTATTTAGACACTAAAAGACTTTTTATTAACAGCAGATTCAATTTTGGTTTAATAGCTATCAGTAATGCATACAGAAAAATATATATATATATTTTTTAGCATCATCACAGTACAACATGTAGTCCTTCATTTTTTTTGAAAGGCTCATTACTAAGAAACAGAAGTGAAAATGAAAATAATATGTATGACATATATCACACATATTTAGAATCAAAACAAAAAGTAAATAACTTAGGATTAATCTTTTGTAAATTCCTTCCTTTTCTCTTATTAGATTCCTAATTAATATCTCTTTGATCACCATTTAGTGAGTCTGAATTCCATGGGTAACATACATAATGAATTATGAAATTATATAATTTATACAAAAGGCCTTATTAATATTCTGAAGATCCCTTAATCATGTGTTAATATATTTTAGGTTAAATAAGAGTGTTCTTATATGAATGTTAGAGACAACAGATCACATAAGTATTACACAGTAATTAAATTAAACCATATAATCATGCTTAAATGCAAAGATGACCTTCATAGGAAATGTATAAACAATTAAAAAAAAACAAGACAAACTTACCAGAGATATCCAAATATATGCCCAATAAGCCTATCCATTAAATAATCCAGTGAAATAACATCTCAGCTGATCCTGAAAAAAAATCATACAATATTCAGTGATACACAATTAACCTCATTTTACAATGTAAGTAAAGCAATAATTTACAGACAAAAGGGACAGAAATGTAAAAGATACCATGTATTTTACCAAAATTTAGTGAATATTTTTCTGATTGAAATTCAATCATAGAATGACCCATCATAGAAATATTAAATGCACTCTGAGTTACGTGCAGGTTATATAACTGTAAATCACATGAAATGAGGATAAATACAGTATTTACATTCAAAATAGAACTTTACATAATAATGATTAAATACATTTAGATGGCCTTCATATAGGAAATGTAAACAAAAATAAGACAGACTTACCTGTAGAATATGTCTGTCAGAAAGGAGATTTCAAAAATGAACACGCTCTCAACATTCACATGACAAGAATGCATCAGGATGTTTACTTCCGTGGTCATGGAGAAATTGAGCTTTATACAAGGAAAGCTTCATAACATAACAATCATCAAAGTAAAAGAGAGGAAAAACAAAAGATAGTCTTACATTTTTTGAAAATCTAAGTTGACTTCTTAGAAACAAAAGTGAAAATGAAACTTTAATTTTACAAGTGTATGACGTCATAATGCATAGGGTAGCTCGCTGACATGGATGACGTCACAATGCATAGGTAAGTTTTATCGTACTTTTTGCACACGGCACTTTATAGAGGATGCAAAGAGGAATATAAGGAAACACAGGTAAAAGGTATATTTCTTTTGCACACGACCCTAATGTTTTGCACACGGTTCTTTACAGGTGATGCAAACAGGTATAAAAACGCAGGTAAAACGTATTGATTCTTGTTATAATCTGTCTTGTGTGTGTGTTATTTGTTATTGTTTTCAGTAAAAAATCCAGGTTGTTATTGTTTTCAGTAAAAAACCAGTTTGAACCGGTTATAGGACTGTCTAGACTGTGAAGCGTGACGTCATAATGACATTCTTGAAATGTTTTTTGCACACGGCGCATTTACCTGTATAGTTAGCATAAACAAAACGTAGTACCAACGTACTAATGTAAACACAGTGTAAACACCCAGTATTTAAGGGGGACTATATGTAATGAATTAACCCACCTATCCCCCCAAATCTACACTCTCCTGACCCAGCTATCCCCCAGGGGGACTGTACTGAGTTGATCCGGCTATCCCCCAGGGGATGCACTCAGTTGACCCGGTCATCCAGCCGGCTTCCGGCTAGGACATTTCTGGCTAGCCCACTTCCGCTTCCGCTAGGGCCCACTTCCGCTAGACCACGTAGGGTTAAACCACTTCCGCTTCCGGCTAGCCCATTTCGATCCACTTTTGGTTTAAACCACTTCCGGTTATGACGTCACTTCCGGGCTAGCGAGACGCCTTATACTACTCCCGTGGCCTCATGAGCAGAAGATCGATATGCCAACATGAGTAAGGGTATCAAGTCATCCCAATCTTTTTGATTTTTACTAACAAATGCTGAGAGCATATTTTCAATCGTTCTATTTGCCCTTTCTATCATCCCATCAGACTGAGGTCTGTAGGAAGTAGTTCGGGTTTTGTCTATACCCAGTATTTTACACATTTCTTTGAAAACATCAGATTCAAATGTCTGCCTTTGATCTGAATGAATTTGCATTGGGACTCCAAAAACGGAGACTACATGATTTATTAATTTTTGAGCTACAGTAACTGATTTCTTATTTCTAATAGGGATGGCGTCAACCCATTTGGTGAAGTAATCTCCCACAACTAGAAGATAAGAATTTTTCTTGTGAGTCATTGGTAAAGGACCTAATATATCCACTGCCCATCTTTCCATCGGAGCACCAACCAGGTATTTTTGTAACTGGGCCTTTGGGAATTTATTAGATTTTTCTAGCTGCACATTTATCACAGCTTTTACAAAATTGTTTTATATCTTGGGACATCTTGTGCCAGAAATATTTATCTCGGGCCTTTGACAGAGTTTTATTGAACCCCAAGTGACCGCCCGTTATATTAAAATGTATATCTTTCAATACTTTCCCACTGATAGATTTTGGGAAAATAGTTTGAAATTTTGGTTGCACGCTTTCCCATTTATGATATAACAAATCATCTATATAATGGAGAGAATCAAATCTTGCCCAGTAATATTTGCATGTTTCACTCAGATGGGAAATGTCTTCCCAAAGGGGTTTTTGTTTAGCTTTGACCCATTTTTTTTTACTTCCCTTAGATCTGAGTCTTTACTTTGTAAAGCCTTAATACTGTTTTCTGGTTTGTCATTTTCTAGAAGTATTTTAGTTTCTTCTTGTCTTGTAGGGCTTATCCCAGTGGATGGAGAATTTCCCTTGGACCTTGTGGTAACAGCACAGTTTTTAGGTACGAAACTATTTACTGTAAACCAAGTATTATACGCGTGCGATAAATATCCGCGAGTTCCGCGAGTAACCTCTGCTCGCGGATATTTATCGTCGCGAACCAGTTGTTCATTATATTCCTATATCATGATTTATTTAGAGTTATTTGCCCTTTTTTCAATACCGATCCCGACGGTTCAACAAGTAATCACGAAAAAACTTTACTGTTAGTGTACAAGAAGCAGTTGAAATTTAATTACAAACATTCAGAAAAAATAAAAACGAATGGCAAATCTAAAACTATTTGTCTAAAAATGATTAAAATGTCAATAATCATTTCAGCTTGTGTTATTATTGTTCATTAATTGTTACAGACGAGTCAGAGAGAGCCTGGTTAATTATGGCTAATTATGGCCCAGTCCTGCTCTGTCCCAACCATTTATAATAATTGCTCCTTGGCTGTGTAGATCTTAGAAAGCGTCGATTACCCAATTAGTATGAGGCACTTTTACAATTGAGAGTTTGAAATTAATTTTAATCTCCTAGATTTTCCCCCGATTTTTGTTTGAGCGTTGTGAAAATGCGCATGACGTATGGTAAACATTTTATCTACTGTAGGGGCGGATATAAGATTTTAAATGGACAGAATGTCTTGAATAATGCGTAAGCAGATCGCACGCTACCATTTTACCTAGTTTATGGGCGGATATAAAAATTTTATTTGATTCAAAAATACTCGTGGAAATAAAAAAAAATGTGACCACTCGTTCGCGGAAATTAATCGTCGCGGATAAGTTCTCTGGCGGTCAGTCGCGAATAAAAAATGACACGTATAATAATTGGTTTACAGTATGTTGGGACTAGCAGTTAGATCACTTTGTTTAATTTCAGAAATTATTTCCCTCTTTACTTGGCTTTGGTTTTCCATGGGAGGTTCATTTTGCAAGTTTGTTGGTCAAATGAAAATTTGTCTTCTGCTTTACTACAATGCTTACAGTCAAAATCTCTCATGAGACAAGGTCTGCGGGACAAAGCGTCCGCATTGTTATTAGTGCGACCTGCCCGGTACTCAATTTTGAAATTGTATGAAGACAAAAATTCGAACCAACGTGCTATTTGGCCCTCTGGATTTTTGAAATTTAACAACCAAGTGAGGGACCCATGATCTGTTCTTACTTTGAATGTCTTCCCATATAAATAGTGGTGAAAGTGCTTTATTGAGTTTACAATAGCTAGTAACTCCCTTCTAGTGACACAATAACGACGTTCAGCAGAACTGAATGTCTTGCTATAATAACTTATAACTTTTTCTACTCCCCCTTGCTCTTGGGAAAGAACGGCTTCCAAACCTATGTTAGAGGCATCAGTATCTAAAATGAATAGGCCTTCTTCATTAGGATAGGAAAGAATGGGAGAAATAGTTAATGCTCGCCTTAGCTTGTCAAATGCTACATTGCAATCATTATCCCATATAAACTTCCTATTTGCTTCTGTAAGTTTATGTAATGGTCTAGCCATATCTGAGAATTTGTATATAAATTTCCTATAATATGAACGAAGACCTAAGAAGCTTCGAACTTCCTTAACATATCTAGGAATGAGCCAATTGTTGACTGAGTCAATCTTTGAGGGATCAGTGGCTATCCCATTTTCACTAACAATGTATCCCAGAAAGGGAACTTCTTTTTGCAACAACATACATTTCTTTGGGTTCATTTTCAAATAAGACTCCCTCAGTCGTCCAAGAGCCTTTCTTAAATTTTCAATGTGTTCTTCAAACGTTTTAGACAATATTATTATGTCATCTAAATAGACAAGGCATATTTTCCAAGAAAGATTTGATAAAACCCTTTCCATTAGCCTTTCAAAAGTTGCTCCCGCATTACATAAACCAAATGGCATGTTTAAAAATTGCCAGTGTCTTCCCCCTGGGATTGAAAAAGTTGTTTTGGGTTTATCTTCAGGTGACATTTTCACCTGCCAATACCCACTCTTAAGATCTATCGTAGAAAACCATTTTGAACCTGACAGGGCATCTAATGTTGTATCAATTCTAGGTATGGGATAACTATCCTTAATAGTGACATCATTTAACTTTCTATAGTCTATACAGAACCGGATTGTCCCATCCTTTTTCTTAACCAGGATTATGGGAGAACTCCATGGACTGTCTGATGTCTCTATCACCCCCCTATCCAACATATCATTTATTTCCTTCTTGGCCTCAGCCATTTCAGCTAGAGGAATACGTCTAGGAGGTTGTTTAATCGGGAGTGCATTTCCCGTATTTACCTTATGCTCTACTAAATCTGTTGAACCCATGTCAGGTGATGAAAGGGAGAAACTTGTTTGAAATTCCCTTAAAAGTTTTTCTAATCTCTGTTTTTCTTCAGAGCTAACACTAGAATGGACCCTATCTAAAATTTGCTGTAAATGATTGGGCATCTGGGAGTCTTTCCCATTACAATGAGTACTTATGTTCTTCACTACTTCCCCACTATCTATATCTTCAACCCTTTCTATTTGAGGCTACTACACTACCCTTGTGTAACTTTAAACTTTCGTCACCTAAATTCATATAACGTACTGGGACATTTTCCTCATCTACTTCTACCGAAGTTTTTGAAATCAACAATTCATATTTTCCCATAAACTTATCTGAGGGTTCCACTATGGCTGTACCCTGTTGAAAATTGGGACTTTCTATCCTAGCAGGGGCAATAAATTCACAGTTTGGGTGAATCACTATATCTTCTAGTAAAAGAACCCTGCAACAATGGACTACACTATTTGCATCACTAAAACAAGGGATTTCTTCTCCCTGAATCACAAATTTCATTTTCTTCAAACAAATCTCACATGAAAACTTTTTCATAAAATCTACACCCAAAATACATTTGTTCTGAATGTTTGCAACAATCACTGTATGGGAAATTTCAATATCCCTAAGACTAAATTTAAGAAGACTCTCTCCCACAACTGGGATGTCTTCTCCATTTGCTGATCTTAATTTCACACTACAAGATTTTACACTTGACTCTTCTACTGATTGAATTTTTTCAAATAATTTGGGGCTTATAATAGTCACACTGGATCCGGTATCTACTAATATTGTTGTTTTAACATTTTCTATCTTCCCTGATATAAAAATTCCCTCATCTCTTTCTTTAACATCTCCCACTAAA